AGACATGATCGATTTGGGGGTGGTTCTGTTATGGTGTGGGGAGGCATCACTGGAAGAACGGCTTTACATGTTGTTGCAGGGTGTGTTACAGGCCAGTACTACCGGGACAACATCTTGGCAGTCCATGTTGTGCCGTTCGCACGACGTCATGGCCGCCGTTTCATCTTCCAGGATGACAACGCAAGATGTCACAGGGCCAGGATCGTTACAGGTTACCTCCAACAACAGAACATCACCACATTACCTTGGCCAGCACTGAGTCCCGACCTCTCCCCCATCGAGCATGTCTGGGACATGCTTGGACAGAGGTTACGTCAACGTCAACAACGTCCTGCCAATGTCCAAGAACTTGCTGCTGCGTTGCAACAGGAATGGGACAATCTGGACCAAAATGACCTTAGACGTCTCATTAGGAGTATGCCACGTCGGATCAATGCTTGTTTGGCAAACAGAGGAGGATTTACCCGTTACTGACTTGGTTGTGATGCTGTGGTAACTTTGCTGTTTGACCCCGGGTATCATTTTACCCTTATAATGGTCAGTCTGTGCCTTACTTAGTCTAACGATTATTTGGAATAAATCGATGAATGTGAACTTCATTTCATTTTGCCAAGAGTAGACATAAACGCGGGCACAGACTAGAAAAAAATCTTTTTACACTTTTGTGTTAGTTGAATTGTAATCTAATTTATGTTTAAAAAAACAACCTTAAATCTAATAAGCAGACGGAAGATATGGACGAACAACAAGAAGAAGTTATGGAGGTCCCAACAACTGAACCTATGGAAGTAGAAGAATCGTTTACAGCCGAAACCCGATACGATGTGCCAGTTCCGGTTATGTAGTCCTCCATCTCAGACGATGCCGACGTTAGTGTCTTCTGCGACGAAGAACCCGTAGTGGTGTATCACTATAAACCTCAGAATGCCTCGTTCGGCATTTCTGTCCAAACGAGGCAAAAACGTGTCAAAACGTTTGCCCCGATTTTGCCTCGTTGTAACGAGGTAAAAAAAATACCTCGTTTCTCTGGAGTTCTAAAACGTGTTTTTTTTTAAATTGCCCTGTTTTTGGAACGAGGTATTTTGTTCAGAACGAGGCTGGGTAAAATTGCCTCGTTTACTAAACGAGGTATTTTATCCAAGATAATTATTAGCGGTATTTGCTGTCAACAAATAGAGCCATACAAATAATGTTCGGACCATCATGTGACCAATTGCAGATCTACAAATTAGATTATTTATTTGGGACATGATATTGTTCATAGTTATGGCTTACTACACTGGAGTTCTATTATGTATAATAAACTCTTCCCGAGCGAAACAAAACATAACAATGTCACGTGACAATATTACATATGGCGGATACAAGCGTTCTCTGATTACATGCTGTTTGGTTTGATTATTAAATAATACGGCAATATGTATATATGGGAAAAGAAGGATGAATTTCCCCAAATCCAAAACTAGATGACTGGAATATTTATTGAATGGAATGTAAATATTTTATAAACAAAAATATTCGGATTTGCAGTATCCTAGCTTGGATGGATTTGTGATTTGAATCTCGAACTCAGTGTTTTATACATTTTTTTATAAAATTGTAATAAATGTTTTACATGAATGAATAAAATCTACAATTTAAAACAGTACAATAACATTGTGATTTGACGCTCTACAAATCACTAAGAGTATAACAATTGCTTGTTGAAAAGGCGTTAATAATATGTTTTTTTCCATTTATTATTTTTTAAAAATATATTCAAAAAGAATGCGTCTTTTACAGATTTCAATATAACCACAAATGGTTGATTGTTTTAATGCTAAGATAAGTATTAATGGTTTGTATTTGAAAATCAAATTATATAAGCGAAAAATAGTAAGATACATTATGTATATCTTAAAACACGCCCTTCTCAGTTACTACTTCGGCGAATATCGTTTGATAATTTAGATGATCAGAATTAAACACCGTTTTGCTATGTTATTATTTTTTTATGATTGGGTGGGGGTATACTTAATTAGGGGATTGGATTGAAAGATTATAGCTACCATCTTATGGAGACAGAATGTGTGGTGCATTTACGGTCTTATAAAGCTCTATTCTTACATAAAGAATTCTTGATTCGCACGGAAGTGTTTTAGCCGTGATCATTTTAAGTCATGCTTATGCCAAGATCTGGGTAAGTGTTAATTTAACTAGATATCAGAAAAGTACCACGTTTTCATAAATGTACTCTTTAGATAAATTGTACAATATTTATCAGTTCACTAGTTACAATAAAATCATGCATTATAGCTATTTTTATTTATTCATCCCTGGTGCTTCAAATTCAATTTAGGGTGCCTCAACATATTTAAAAATATGTTTTAAAGCTTTAGGTCATTTTATTATATCTTTCTACCATAAATAATAGGCCGAATTTAGGTATATCAAAAGTTAAAGAAATATAAACAGTTTTTGAGTCATTCAGATATGACTGCCAAAATTGTCACCAACACACATGTCGTGTTTAGGCTAAAATCTAACCAGAAAAGTATTGTCAATACATGTCATGAAGAACTCTTTAGACATAATTTCGTTTATAATACTTTACTCGTTTCTATTGAGTTGTTTAGCAGAAGTAACCCATGACAACAATATGTTGAGACGACTACGTAACAGAATAGGACGCTTCAATGTTATTAAAATGACACAATGACAATTTTATTTTTATTACCAACCCTTTCACAATATTTGAATGAAATATCTCACACAGGGTGTTAATCTGTTTTCAGTTTCTATTCCAATTCAATAAAACATTTAATACATTTTATACATGTCTTGGCTTGATTCATTATTTACAATTTAATACGTTAATCGTGTATTTTAAATAATACAGTTCAAGAGATCAAAACATTTCCGAATTTATACATTCAACATTACACGTAGACCTAAATGTATTTTTCAAATACGTGTATAAACATTTATATGAAATATATTATAAACAGATATGCTATGACCAGAGTTGCCATTATCTTTATTATTCGACTGGAAAACTCCTGTCATTCACTCTGTCGTTCGACTGATCCATCATTCACGTTGTCATTTCCGAGTCTGAAATTTGGGGTATAGGGGTAGCTCGGACCGGGGAGTAACATAGGCCAGGTGGCGTTAGTCTACCACTTCCGGTTTCGGAGTTATGACCCCCCGAGCGAAGCCGGGCATTCTTCTAGTATATAAATAAATATATAAATAAATCATCTTCATGGTCATCATCATCGTCATCATCACTATTTAACACCAATCATCGTCGCCTGACAATTACCTTATCTATTCAAACGCTTGTTTAGTTTTAAATACTTGTGAACTTTACTAAAACTCACTTTGTTGAACGGGTTACTTTCGTTGGTATCGCCATATAGGAACGCTTTTGTATTTATGGATTTAAATGGGAGGGTATTTAATGTTGAGATACGCTGAGACGAATAATTTGGGCAGTGCAGAAAATAATGGTCGCTGTCTTCTTGAGTATGACCACAACTGCATGTCGGGTTATGTGAAATATGCATTAAAAATCTATGGAAGTTTAGAGCACTTTTACAATTACGAAGTCTGGAATGTATAATCTGAAATTTACGTTCTCCATAGTAACATCTTACTGACATCAATAAATACAAAAATATGACTAAGTCGAAAGTCAACAAGACGGTATACAAGCCAAAATGCAAGTCGAAAATAAGAAATTAGGAAAAAAAACGAGGGGCGCTATTATCGCAGTGTATTATTTCTTGATTTCCTATTTTCGAGTCGATTTTGGCTTGTATAGCGTTGCTGTCGCCTCACATTTTGTCGTAACTGCTACTTTTCGACTTTCGTGTTTTGGAGGGCGAAAAGTAGAAATTAAGAATGGTAGGCTTCTATAGTTAGGCGTTTGTATATATGACTGTATACTTGACACATGTACGACCTGAATGGCTGAATGGCCGGTAACCAAATTTGTTATTGTGAGTGTTAAACGACATCGTAATTATTTTATATTTTGCAAAAAAAAACAAACAACAAAAAACAAAACAAAAAAAACACAAGCCGTGATTGCCATTACTACAATACGGATTACTAAATATACTTTGTGTTCAATTTTATATTTTAATACTGAAGACAGGGCCGGACTATAAATGAACAAGGCGGATCCTTTTGGCTTATATTGAGTAATTATTGCAACGTGTTACAGTTGAAAGTTCCAAAGCATTTTCACATTCCATGTCCGATAAATTTAATCATCATGCAACTACTGATTGGTGGGTCGTCGAAACATTTAGATGCATACATCACAGCACCGTGGTTTAGACAACTTGCAATTGAACTAGTTTTATTGTTGTACACATAATGAAAGAAACTGTGTTATTTCACAGCTGAATTCTATGGTAAGAACCGTAGAACCACCTTGTAGGGAATAACTTTTAAACTTTAACACCCTATACACACTCTGCCAGCGGCATCTTTGACCCACACTCTCTTAACATTAATCCAAACTTTAAATCTTTCAACGGTTTAACAAGAAGGTGCTAAATATTTCCATTTAAAAAAATACAAAAAGCAATTCGAAAAATAAACTATAAGTAAAGGAACCATCTCAGTGAATAAAGCTATTAATATGCCGTTAACCCGTGAGGCAAACCGAATGATGTTTTATAGTAAATTAGACGAATAAAACATATAACGTTGCCATCTCGACCCTGATGCCCATGAACACAAATGACGAGTTTAAGACAAACCAATGGCGGAATGGAATTGATTAATGGAATAAAATATTTATTATGTATGGACACTAAGTTTTATGGTTAGACTTTAGCCTAAAAAAACATGCGCGCTGATTACAATTTTGGCAGTCATATCTGAATGGCTCAAAAACTGGTTATATTTCTTTAACTTTTGGTATACTTGAATTCGGGCTATTATTTAATATATATATTGATCAACAGCGGCGATAAAAATCATTAGTCTCGACAATGACTAGTGTTCATTAGCCTGAATAGTGAAGGAATGCGGGTCATTAAACCCCAATTTCATTTCATAAATCTCTCGGCTCAATAATGAGCTACTCGGGTTGGTTAGATCCACGCCTTAATGCATATACAACCAATAGAGAAATAGGTCAAATATGGCGACAATGATCAACTTGCTCTTCTTCTACTAAATTAAAGATTCGTGTGGAGATTCTGTCGATATTATCATATATTTATATCTGCTCTTTCTTAAAATGGAGACGGTTAGTAAAATGGTCTTCTTTACGTTCCTAAATATCAGTATGACCTTAGTGAATACCGCACGATTACGATCGTTCCAGACTGATAACTTTACGTTCCTAAATATCAGTCTGACCGTAGTGAATACCGTACGATTACGATCCGTTCCATACTGATACCTTAATTATAGGCTAATTATAGAGCCTTCAATTTCAAACACATTTTTATTATCATATGCTCTTATTTTTTTTTCATCATTATATGATTAACATTTCCTAAACTTTACGATTTTCAACTTTTTTTTAAAATAATAGTCCATCTCTGAGACAACAAAAACGTAAATAAATGGAAGATAAAAGCAAGAAAGACAACCCTAATAAAGGAGTCAGGAGGCAGACCACCATTAAATTTCATCATCTTGGTACCCACGAATTGTAGTTCGTCTATTTATAGCAATTCTCTCTCTCTCTCTCTCTCTCTTTTCTCCCCTTTTGCATGCCCATTTGTGTTGATTTTTTGGTCTAGAATGGATGAAGAGGGTTTGAATTAACATTTTCTGCCAGGTTTTGGTAAATATTCATGATTTTGAGGCAGAAGGATAAGAGGGTTATCAGGTTAGCTACGGCGATATGTACGGAAACTAGTTACATGTTTTTAGTATGCTTCTTCAAGTTTGTGTATCTCAAAATTTTGGTGGTCAACCTCATACAAATTTTAGTGCAAAGACATGACCATTTGTTCATCTGTCTGTAGTGAAAAGCATTCAGCCCAACGAAAATTTGGGGAAAAGTCGGAGGTGGGCAAAGAGGCCAGAATTAACATTGAAGTCAATGGGGAAGTTAATGGTGGTCTGCCTCCTATATGAAAACAACCTGACAGTGGATGAAAGGCCTAAATTTGATGATATGATCTCCAAATTGTCAGAAAATGTGATATATGGCATTTTGATAGTAAAAAATGTGAAATGGTAAAATTTCAAAAATATTTGACAAATTTGGGAGGGGAAATTTTGATTTTAGTCAAAATTTTGTGATTTTCAGTGTTTATTTACTTTTCAAAATTAGTGGAAAATATTTTAATGTATGATTTTTACTTTTTCTGCATTATAATTTTTAGACGGGAAGAAAGTATCATAATTTCACTCAATTTTGCCTAAAAATCATGATAAATTGTCTGAAATTCTTCAGATTACCCCCAATATTGCTGTCAAAATTTTAATTATTCATCTGTTGTAAAATGAACCAAAATGTCTTGCATGTCTTTATTTTCATTGTTAAATAACTTGGCAAGGATCCATGTGTTTGTCAGATATTGAAAAAGTATTCATGTGTTTGTCAAAAATTTAAAAATTAAGAAATTTAGTCTAATTATGTTCTGCTTAGGTGTGTTAGAATTTTCAAAACATGAGTGAACTGCATTTTGCTGCTGTTTTCCTCAGGCTTAACACAATTTTAATCTTTCAAAACCTGAAATTGTTGCATTTCCCTTCTCGAGAAAGTAAACTCTATGTGTTTGCAGGGAAATTTCTCTGTCTTCATTTCATTTAGACTGGCTCACCCTCCTCACCCCACCCCTTTTCTTGAAGATGATATTTGGATATTCAATTGAACATTTGTTGACTCCAAATTAGCAGTAATCTGATTTTGTGCTTGAATTGTAACCGAGCATTTTATTTGACACAAACAAATAGTTACATATAAGATTTCAAGGATTTCTAAGACTTTTTGTTTATGGTCAAACATGTAATCCTATGACATTTCTTCCAAATGAGTCCACACCCCAAAATGGATATGTTGTAGATGTGTTTTTTGCAGCTTAATGTTTTACATTTTGAATGTAAATCTATTATTTGTGGTGATCTTTGAAAATGTGGCGCTTACAGGGCAATAAAATATTAATTAATAGTCTTTTCATACCCCTTTTATGCTTTGAATTATGTCAGAACTCCCTTTTTCCATCTCATTTTGTCAGGACATTGATGTAAAGATTAAAACAACTTGCTTCCACATAATATTTACACTATGTAATTTCAAGGATACCTCTGATTGTTAAAGTATTTTAAAAACTGAAATATTCCCATTTTTTAAAAAAAAAATAGTGCTTTGCGACCCTTTTATTAGAGTGGCTGGTTGTCACCTAAATACAGCATTTATTTTACATTTATCAATCCATATTTTAATAAATAATTCATACTTCTTATAACAAACTGTGTTTATATGTATGTATATAAGCCAGGGATAGAAGAACATGGCTTTTAGCCATATTCCATCAACAGTATTACTTATGTGGACACAAGTGGGATTTGTTACCACACCAACGTTTTTAGGGGGTGGGCTTACAGGTTTCACTATAGTTCCTTACAGTTACCTTCAATGCAACAAATTTGCAGCTTGTCTTCCTGTATACCGGCCAAGGTTTCTAGAAATAAATGCTTTTCATCTCAGACTTTCCCAGAAATAGGGAAATATTAGCATTTTGAGGCATACAAAGTGTCAAAAATGGACCATTTTGTAGAAAAAGGTAAAAGAAAGTCAATTTTTGAAAAATATTCCAATATTTTGAATATTTTTGATGTGACTTGTCTGAAACTCTTTAAATCTTTTCGCAGAACTCACATTTCGATAAAATTAAGAAAGAATTTTCAATTCTAGAACAAAAGGCCCATGGACCTGAGCTGCAATCCGGTATACAAAACACTACATAACTTTAAAGGGTCACCATTTCTGCAGTAATTATTTTTTTCTGATTCTGTATTATAATAATGTTGCAAAAATAAATGTGAAGCTATAAAGAAAAGAATTTTGATGATATATGAACTTATAAAACCATATAGGAGGCAGACCACCATTAAATTTCATCATCTCGGTACCCACGAATTGTAGTTCGTCTATTTATAGCAATTCTCTCTCTCTCTCTTTTCTCCCCTTTTGCATGCCCATTTGTGTTGATTTTTTGGTCTAGAATGGATGAAGAGGGTTTGAATTAACATTTTCTGCCAGGTTTTGGTAAATATTCATGATTTTGAGGCAGAAGGATAAGAGGGTTATCAGGTTAGCTACGGCGATATGTACGGAAACTAGTTACATGTTTTTAGTATGCTTCTTCAAGTTTGTGTATCTCAAAATTTTGGTGGTCAACCTCATACAAATTTTAGTGCAAAGACATGACCATTTGTTCATCTGTCTGTAGTGGAAAGCATTCAGCCCAACGAAAATTTGGGGAAAAGTTGGAGGTGGGCAAAGAGGCCAGAATTAACATTGAAGTCAATGGGGAATTAATGGTGGTCTGCCTCCTATATGAAAACAACCTGACAGTGGATGAAAGGCCTAAATTTGATGATATGATCTCCAAATTGTCAGAAAATGTGATATATGGCATTTTGATAGTAAAAAATGTGAAATGGTAAAATTTCAAAAATATTTGACAAATTTGGGAGGGGAAATTTTGATTTTAGTCAAAATTTTGTGATTTTCAGTGTTTATTTACTTTTCAAAATTAGTGGAAAATATTTTAATGTATGATTTTTACTTTTTCTGCATTATAATTTTTAGACGGGAAGAAAGTATCATAATTTCACTCAATTTTGCCTAAAAATCATGATAAATTGTCTGAAATTCTTCAGATTACCCCCAATATTGCTGTCAAAATTTTAATTATTCATCTGTTGTAAAATGAACCAAAATGTCTTGCATGTCTTTATTTTCATTGTTAAATAACTTGGCAAGGATCCATGTGTTTGTCAGATATTGAAAAAGTATTCATGTGTTTGTCAAAAATTTAAAAATTAAGAAATTTAGTCTAATTATGTTCTGCTTAGGTGTGTTAGAATTTTCAAAACATGAGTGAACTGCATTTTGCTGCTGTTTTCCGCAGGCTTAACACAATTTTAATCTTTCAAAACCTGAAATTGTTGCATTTCCCTTCTCGAGAAAGTAAACTCTATGTGTTTGCAGGGAAATTTCTCTGTCTTCATTTCATTTAGACTGGCTCACCCTCCTCACCCCACCCCTTTTCTTGAAGATGATATTTGGATATTCAATTGAACATTTGTTGACTCCAAATTAGCAGTAATCTGATTTTGTGCTTGAATTGTAACCGAGCATTTTATTTGACACAAACAAATAGTTACATATAAGATTTCAAGGATTTCTAAGACTTTTTGTTTATGGTCAAACATGTAATCCTATGACATTTCTTCCAAATGAGTCCACACCCCAAAATGGATATGTTGTAGATGTGTTTTTTGCAGCTTAATGTTTTACATTTTGAATGTAAATCTATTATTTGTGGTGATCTTTGAAAATGTGGCGCTTACAGGGCCATAAAATATTAATTAATAGTCTTTTCATACCCCTTTTATGCTTTGAATTATGTCAGAACTCCCTTTTTCCATCTCATTTTGTCAGGACATTGATGTAAAGATTAAAACAACTTGCTTCCACATAATATTTACACTATGTAATTTCAAGGATACCTCTGATTGTTAAAGTATTTTAAAAACTGAAATATTCCCATTTTTTAAAAAAAAAATAGTGCTTTGCGACCCTTTTATTAGAGTGGCTGGTTGTCACCTAAATACAGCATTTATTTTACATTTATCAATCCATATTTTAATAAATAATTCATACTTCTTATAACAAACTGTGTTTATATGTATGTATATAAGCCAGGGATAGAAGAACATGGCTTTTAGCCATATTCCATCAACAGTATTACTTATGTGGACACAAGTGGGATTTGTTACCACACCAACGTTTTTAGGGGGTGGGCTTACAGGTTTCACTATAGTTCCTTACAGTTACCTTCAATGCAACAAATTTGCAGCTTGTCTTCCTGTATACCGGCCAAGGTTTCTAGAAATAAATGCTTTTCATCTCAGACTTTCCCAGAAATAGGGAAATATTAGCATTTTGAGGCATACAAAGTGTCAAAAATGGACCATTTTGTAGAAAAAGGTAAAAGAAAGTCAATTTTTGAAAAATATTCCAATATTTTGAATATTTTTGATGTGACTTGTCTGAAA